CGCAACTCGCTCACTAGCAATAATTGTTCTCTTCTCTGATTGAGAACCAACTACTCTTAATAGTATCCAACAACTGTTCTGAATCTTAAAGGCTCTTCGGTACCCTCCAATTCCTTATCTTTCTTTACACTTAGTTTTACTTAAGTCACACCATTCCCTATCAGTCCTGACATCCGCCTAAATCACCCCTCCGCACATGTTTTAAGACTATATCCCTCCTCCTGTCAACACTGCCACGTGCCAACTTCGGTTTATTTTATCAATCTTTTCACACTTGATAGATACCCGGCATGCGGTAGCCGTCACAATTTGATCAAGCAAACAAATGTCACACGATTCTAATCAACCAATTCCTGAACTCTGTGAACTTCAGCTCTCGAGTTCAACTCAACCTTCAAACCATGCTTTGTTCACTGAGTAATCCTACCAAGGTCTTTATTTTAATTATCCCGTTAACGGTCCGACCTCCCAAGGGTAGGGGAGACCCTTTTCATTGGTAGCTAATTCGTTCCAAGCATCTCAAATTTCTACCTGTACTCTGTTCCAATCCCGACTTTCTAGCTATCAAAGGAACGTAGTTCGTCTATTAGGGGTCAAATCAAAGCAAAAAGTCACCAGCGGGAAGCCACGTAAAATCCCCGTCCTTTCATACTAATTAGGAAACTTAACTCTCATGCAGCGGTCCTATTACTATGAGATTGCTCTGGGACTACTTTTCTTTAGTCCAGCTTAATTGTTTTGAATAGATCATTTGCCAAGCTAAACAGAACCGAATGTTTACCAAGTCCATTTTGAATTAAATCCACTACTCCAAGATTGCAATATAAGAATGTATCTCTGTCGGCTTCCGCTCTATTTCCCAATATATAAGTTTTCCTCCCAATTTTTTGCAAGGGGACCCATTCTCATTTCCAGTGGTTGGACTGGGAAAAACGCCACTTTCCGGTGTTAATCTTGGGGCTTACCATGAAATCAAAACGCCCAAAGGTCAACTTAAGGTCAAATTTCCGGGGTCAAACTTCCAAATTTGGGTTCAAGATCCCATGCGGGTCCTAACTACCAAGTTCCATTCGTATCCCATTAATACTTCACACGTTGTCCCATTTCTAAGGTCCAAAGTATCACTTTTTTCCGTAAAAAGGCATTTAACACCGGAAGGAGTCGCCGGAGGGTTTTCACTGACCAGGTTTTTTTTTGGGGGGGGGGGGTCCGTATCCTATGTCCATGGCCGCAATAAAATACTTATGCCACCGTTCATCATTTCGCGTAAATTGCCTATTTCCGGTCTAAAGGGGTGTTTTTTCAAGTGTTAATAGCTTCCGGTCCAAAGCCCGGATTTGATTCAAATTATAATACAAGATGTATCTTGCCATTACCTATCATCCCTCCAAGTTTCAGCTCCCTGCGCTTCTCGGTGGCCGAGAAACGACTTCCGGAAGTTAGGGGTGGGTTTGTTTACTTAGGGTATAAAACCGGAAGTGGGAGTCTTAGGGGTCTGGGGTTCCAAACTTAAGCTTCCCTTAACTAGGCCTTCAACAAACTAGAATTTGAGCCCGATACCGCCGCTAGTTTTCGAGTTCTGATAGGGCCATTTACACTTCCGGGGACCTTTATCACTTGCCCCCCCCCCAAGGGTCTGACGGGTCCCGATTTTTGCATGCCCGGTTCAAATCATCTCTAGTATCGCTCCTCTGATTTGTATAACATTAGCTTTCTTAGTTCCAATTTTGAGGGGGGGGGGGTTCAACAATTTTGTCAAATTTTGTTTTTTGGCATAGGAGGGACGATATCTTCGAAGATTGAACTATTTCGAACTTTACCCTTTGTTGGCTGTACTACTTAACTTAATGACGAACCAATCTTACGCTCAGGTTACTATAGCATGTATGACAGTAGAATCGCCAATTCTACAACCACATTAACTATGGTTATCAATTATGCTGAAATAAACTAAAATCTCTGTAAAAATGGCATTTTACTTCGAGCAACTGATTTTTTTCAATTTTTTTTCCCGTATAAACAAAATTAACATTATAACTTATGATTTTGGGTGACATTTCTTAGAATCCTTTTGCTCTCCTTATGTTTTCGGACAAAGTCAAAGTTATAAAGCAAAACTCAAAAACACGACTTATTTAAAATTTCTGGAAAAAATGCTTCTCCTAGTTTTTTTTCCCACGCTATTAGTGGGTTTAATTATTTGAAGAATTATTATTGGTTTTTTTGTTTTCGGACAAAATCTAAACTATAAAGCAAAACTCAAAAACAAGATTTATTTAAGATTTTTGTGAAAAAAGATACTCTCAGTTTTTTTTAATAGTAAGATTAGTGCTACGTAGTAAGGGTTTCTTTAACTTGAGAAACAAATATTACTCCTAGATAGTTCATGAATGAGAAACTAAATGTTTTTCATGTAGGTTTCTTAAATCACATAGGTTTCCATACGTACTAAACTATATGGATTTGTTTTCAATTCAAGACGTTTTTAATTCATAGAAAATGCAAGAATTGAAGTTTTGGTCAACACTTCCTTAATTTTTCTAAATTTTAATTATTATCTTACGCTCTTTGGAAGCCTTAAATTTTAAAGAATGCCACGTAGTTAGGCATTAATATTTTGATGAGCGCCCTGTTTTTAAGACTGAGGAGGCATTGTTTTGTTTCCTTGAGAACTCTAAAATGTTAGGCGCAGTTTTTCAATCATTTTTTTTTCGACCTTTTTGGTAGGTCGAACAAATTGATTTTCTCAGCTATCCCAAATCACTATCTCAAAATAGTACAAAGGAGGGACCCTTTGGGTCGGCATGGGGCCAAGTCTCTGAAGTCCCTGCCTCACTCCCTCCCCCCTTCCCCCATGAAATCCGCTATTGTTTGTAAGTAGGTTGGCGATCTGTTACTTCGTTAATGGTTCTGAGAAGCCAGGCGCAATTTTTTCCGCCATAGCCAGTCGTAGTTTTCTCTCAAGGCCATAGTTTTTATGATTGCAACTTCTTAGGTTTAATAACTTTTTTTCCTAATGGAATTTTTTGATTACCGAACAGCAGGACTTTGTCAAATGTTGTAAGAACAAACATTAGTTAGCGATGTATATGATTTGAAATACAATTTGGCACAGGGCGGATTTAGAGCGTTGAATTTGGAATATGATTGGGAACCCAGTAGGAAAAAGACCGGCTGTTTTTCCTTTTCCCCCCATCTCACATGAGAATCAATTTTATAGTCTAAGGAGTGGTTTTACAAGGTTAACTATGAAAACTAAATATGTTTGCCATGGCCTAATTTATTTGTATGTCAATTTTCATGACAATCGGACAATGCGAACAGTAATTTTAATTATAAAAAATTGCAGGTGGGGGGAAAATGAAAAAGAGCCAAAAGCACCGAAGTTTCCGAACCGCACCGAAGTTTCATGGGTAATAATCGATTATAATGGATTTTCGTTGACCAAAATGTTGTCAATATAATCGATTATCATGTCAAAATTAGACCACATAATCGATTTTTAATCGATTATAATCGATTATTTTGAAAAAATTTAAATCCATTATAATCCATTATAATCGATTATAATCCATTTTTGTTTTCAATATAATGGATTTTTTTTGTACATAAAATCCATAAAAATTGACTATATTTTTTAAATAATGACTCATATTTTTGCAACTTTCTGCAAAACTTGAACGAAGAACACGTTCATCCAGGGGCGGCCAATGTGTAGTAATTTTACAAAAAAGCCCAAAAACGGCATTTTTGACCAGCTCCTCACGTCAACCCCTCCGCCCCAACGTACCCCCCCCCACGTAACCTCCGCCCCACGACGTACCCCCCTCACGTACCCCCATCCCCCAACGTACCCCCATCCCCCCACGTACCCCCCCCCCCCCCCCCCCCCCCCCACGTAACCTCCACCCCACGACGTACCCCCCTCACGTACCCCCATCCCCCAACGTACCCCCATCCCCCCACGTACCATCCAACCACGACGTACCCCCCTCTCTCTCTCTCTCTCTAGTTAGGGGACATCTAACTGTAGAACGGGTAAGAGTGGGGGGGGGGGGTGGGGGAGTTGGTGTGGGATCTAGAGGTAACCTTTTGTAATTTTTCATAACTCGATTGAAAATAAGAAAAAATGAAATTAAGCGAGAGAAGAAAATAACTAACTTAAGCTTAACAAAATTATGAAAAATGAAAACATACAAAAAGATTTGAATAAATAGATTATAATCCATTATAATCGATCAAAATGGATTTTTTTTCTTTTGATTATAATCGATTATATTGGGATTTTATTGCTCAAAAAACATTATCATTATAATCCATTTTCAATCGATTATAATCGATTATTTTTGTTATTTTGTAGAGACTGACTATCTAATATAATCGATTTTTATCCATGAAACTTCAGTGCGGGGAGGTACTTAAAAAGAAATTAGACGGTTTTGCAAAACTGCAATTGTGGGAAAATAGACGAAATTCTCTGTAAAATTCTCTGCAGAAATTCTTAAATTTGTCTGCAGACAAATTGCGTTAGAAAAAAAATTGCTTGCAGTTAAATTTCGGTGGCCAAAAACTTACAAGTCAATCATGCATAATTTGTTCAATTCAAAACTCTCTTGTAATATTCGGATTTTACATTTTATGTTCATTTAAACTAATTGTTTTTGAGAGGTATTGACATTTTATGTTCTTTTTGTATTTGTGAAACTTGACTCTTGAGAAAAATGTTTGTTGGCCCTTTCCTTTTCATAGTTTTTTCGTCTAAAATGGCAGATCTGTAAAAAAGAAAATCAGTCTAATTTCGTTTTTGTAGCATCTGTCTAATTTGCTTATCGTCTAATTTCCTAGGCCCCAAAATCAGGTCTCTGTTGGATTTCGATACTGTCATCTGCTGCATGCAAAAAAACAGCTACTTTTTCAGAACTACCAGAATTTCCTAGATCCGCCTCTGGGTGTATGTGATTTCGACTAGTTCAAATGAGTCCCCTGATGTTTTTGCTCACCTTTTTGAACATCCAAAGTTTGTCCATTGGTGTCGGCCGGTATAATGTCAAACTGCTTCTTGCTCTTAATCACCAGAATCTGCATGTCTATTTCCAAATTCAACAACTCATCGTACTTCGCAAAGTTCTAAAACAGATTTCTAAACTTCTTTTATTTTTTAAGTGACTCTTTCATGAAAGTTGAACCAAATTACAAAAAGTTCTATCTGCTAATCAACCAAAAACTTGAAAGAACTCAAAATGTTTTAACGGTCTATTTGGAGGATTTTCATTGGTTAGATAATTGAACCTTCCATCATGTGAAAAGCTCAGTTTTTCGATAGGAGAATTGGGTGAATACCTCGGAGATATAGCTTACCGCTTCAAAATCATCGTCGGGAGGATACAAAGTTTCTTGCGTTACTGGAATATCGTCACATTCAGAGCCACATTCACTCTTAGTCGTGTTCAAATCTTCCATCAATAATTTCAAATCGGCTAACAGAGATGTCTGATCATCGACCGCACTAGCTGAATTTTTGTTCACGTCCAAGTACAGATGCAGCAAAAGGTCTACTTGTTCGTTGAGTATATTTAGAGTACCGTTCGCTTCGGCGAACTTCGGGTTGTCTTCGATTATTTGATTCTGAATCATGACTCCCAGCGTATTTTCCGTATCTAAATTAAAGTTTTTATATGGTTTATGAAAAATATGAGGACTTTATTAAAACAGAAGAAAAATTTATTGAACACTGGGTTGAGAAGTTGTCAAAGGTAAAATTGTTTAGAATAAAAAAAAAAGAATTTTTACAAGGGTTGGCTTGATAACATAACAAGACTGCTCGTATCAGGGCGAAGCCCTGGTTGTTCCGACTGCCTTATAAGGTTTATGGGACAGTAATAACATTAAAAAAATAAATATAATAAAAAATAGAAAAAAAAACTCTAAAATTTGAATTTTTTTTTATGAAATCATCCCCCCACACACCATATAATGTATAAAAAAAATAGATTTCGCTCATTTTAACAAATGAATTATGGCAAATAAGCTTAGTTCAACCAATTTGGAGCGATAATTCTAAGACGATTAAATCTCCGCTTACGCGTTAATAGCTCGAATTATATCGCGCGTTAATTGTCCCAAATTGGTCAAAATGGCCAAAATGGCAACCTTTAAACCCTCATAACTTTACGAAAAATGATCACAGGTAAAATATCTTTTCAAATTTAAGCTCAGGACAACAATACTTTTTGAATGATATAAAAAAATTCCGTCAAAAATGGCTAGTTAAAAAGTCGAAATTTGTCTGAAAAAAAAACCCACCCCGAGCACAAATATTCCGTTACTTTCGTATCGAAAGTCGGAACAAAAATCAATAAATGTTAAAAATTGACAATATTCGATGTAAAATTATTCAAGATAATGTTTCAAATAATAAAAAATAAAAGACTGAAGAAGATAATTTAACTTACCGTTTAAGTTTAGGCTGTAGAGCACCTCCTTTAGGCTGAGTAGTTGTTTCGAAATCGCATATTGGTAGCCCTGAAAAAAATACACAACCTATTTACACGATTTCTTGACTTTTAAAGCGTTTTAAGTTCAAAGTTTTACTTAATGGTTAGACAAATATACAGGGGCGGATTTAGGGGGGGCTGGGGGGCTTCGACCCTCAGGGATTCGACCCCCTGCCGACCCAAAGGGTCCCCCCTTTGATACTTTTTCAGAAATCCATTTTTGGCCGGCCGACCCTAAAATTTTTCTAAAGGCGCCTTCGGCGCCAATATATACTAACTTTGAGGGGGAGCGCGCGCCAAAAAAAAAGCGATTTTTTTGTCAACATTTTTCAAAAAGTGCCCAAAAACGGCTTTTTTGACTGTTTTTTTCAAAAATTTGCCTGAGGCGCAGAAATTTTTGCCAATATAGGGGCAAAACAGTGCTTTGGTAGAGCTCGAAAAATCAATTTGGTCGACCTAAAAAAAAAAAAAGGTCGTCAAAATTTTGGAAAATTTTTTGAAAATCAGCCCCCCCCCCTCGAGAAAATCCTAGATCCGCCCCTGCAAATATATCAATTACATTAAAAGTGATATAACAAATCAAGTTACATAGAGATACAAAAAATTATAGTCAAGGTAAATCAATTTATTATGCTGCTATCTGATTGGTCGAAAACTGGACTAAATTGGTACCTTTAATCTACTTCAAACATTACATCCCCTTTCTTAAAAGAAGAGGTCATTATTGAGTAAATGCTTTCTTCGGCAGTAAAAATGTCTTTCTTCGATAGTAAAAAAGACGAGAATGTTTATGAGCGTTTTGAGATAAAAATAAAATAACCTTCCCAAAAAAAGTGTTTAAACGCTTTAAAAACTCTTTAATGAATGACTTTAATTTCATTACAATGACAATTTTAATTATAGATGTTCAAAAGGACGGGGAGGGGGGTTGGTCTTTTATATTTTCAGAAGAGAAAATTAGTGACCTTTTCCACGTTTTTGCTGTAAGTCCTGAGATCAGTTTTTCCATTCTCCAGGGTAGTCTGCAGATTGTCAGTGGAAGACCCGAGGTCAAAGTTCACCCAAAGAAGCATCAGGCCACATACCCTAAATCAAAAAAAAAATATTCATGTAATAATTAAATAAATCCCTATTAAAATAATTTAAATACAAAAAATATTATTAAATAAATCCCATGATCGCGCCGCACCGTACCTCGTTTCCCGACCGAATCTGATTTTGTAACCAAACAAAATAAGATCAAAATGACTCACCCGAATTTTACTGAAGCTAAATTCTATTGAAATTATAAATTTATTGGGAATACACAGGGCCGGATTAAATTTTTTCAAACGCACAATTTTCTAAAGTCATTCAAATTTTATAAGGTTTTTGGGTTGACTAATATCTTTTCAGAGCTCTCATCAAAGATCATAAGACACTATTATGGCAAAAGCTTAGGCAGTTCAGACAACTTTTTGTGAAAACAGTTCGAGATTGAGTTTTTTTTTACAACACAGCACAAAGCAATGCCGCAATGCCACTAATTTTTTCTAGAGATTATTTTAATGTTAAGAACCATTTATCTATCGAATCCAATATCAAGCAAGTATTGCCGGTTACTGCCCGTACCGAGAAAAATCTTTATATCTGACCTGAAATACTTTATATCTAATCTAATTTCCGGTCAGAAATTCTTTTTGAAATTTTTATATAAAGCAAGAATTTTCTTAAGTTTCGTAAGTTTTCGTCTTAATTTTGAGCAGCAATTAGCTAAATCTAGGCTATAAAAACTTCTCCTGGTGAGTCTCGATCCCCTGACCATCCGATTCCTTTGTGTTTGCTCGAACCACTTGTCTACAGTCCTTGATAAAAATTACTAGTTTTAGCAGAATAACAATTGTTGTAACAAGTGTAATTTTGCATTGCATTGATACTGTTGTTATGTATACTCGAAGCATGTTTATCTCGTTGCGGTTGAGCAGTGAACTGTTGTTTGTTATTTTTTTCCAGAAACTGTTTATTTCTAAACAAAAAAAGAAAAAGATCACTTCTGCGCAAAAAACACGAGAAACTAGGCAAGATTACCTACACAAAACTTCTATCTAGAAAAACAGCCTCCGTTGTAGCACACCCTCACTGGAGTTTCATGGACAATAATCGATTATAATGATAAATTGTTGTCTAAAATGTTGTCAATATAATCCATTATCGACTTTTTTTTTCAAAAAAACACAATCCATTAAGATCCATAATAATAGATTAAAACCCATTTAAAATTAACCTTACATTTTTTTGCGCAATTATTTGCAAAACTTCCAACATTTCTTCGTTACTCACGGCCTGCTCGCAATCTAAACCTACTCAAATTACGCTACCTCACTTAGACCAAGTAGAGAAAACTTAAATAAAAAAAATGATGATAAAAGTGTAAGTTTATGAAATGTAATACGGAGCAAAATAGAAAAAAAGATAACTTTGAAAAAAAATTGCGAAACTCATAATTAAAAAAAACCTTATAATCAATTATAATCTATTATAATGGATTATATTGATTAAAAGTATTATGATTATTAACAATTTTTAATTGTTTATAATCAATTATAATCGATTGTAATAGATTATATTGATAAAAAAATACTATAATTATAATCCATTCTTGATGGATTATAATAGATTCTTACTGTAATTTTATAGATACTGGTTATAAAATGACAATATAATCGATTATTATCCATGGAATTCCAGTGCAGGCAGCGTTTTTCAACACCTTTTTTTGGTTTTTTTTCTGCAAAAATTTTTGAATTTTGATTCCCAAAACGGCCCTTAAAAAATCCAAAAATTATTCTTTTTGACTAAAACTAATTTTTCATGGCTTAATTTAAGCCGAAATAAGTTATTGTATGCCTGCACGCTCACCTAATTAGATCGAAATTAGACCAAACACCAAAAGTTTCAAAGCATTTTTTCTCGTGATTCAACATTTGTCACTGTGTTCTCTTAATCATATCTGAGGTCCACGGTGAGATTTTGAACAAGAGTAAACTTGAGCTGCCTAGCTGAGGAGTCAAGCAACCTTTTGTGAGCTCGCAGCATCCCCAAAAACGCGTTTGTTTCGAAGAAAATCTAACAAATCAAAAGCCAACGTTTCATGCCTGAGGTTCATTCAAACAAAATTCGCCCCCTCCTTAATCCGCCCCTGACTTCAAAGCATAATTAAATGGCAGATTTTAATGTCTGAGTTACAAATTAGTCTCAATGCCCATGAATTTCCCCTTGCTGCCAAAGTACCCAGGTTTGGCCTCATAATTATTCATTTTTGGAATATCTTTTTGATTTAATTTTTGATTTAAACACAATCGCTTTGTTGCTTCGATTCATTTTATGATGACTTTGTATGATACCAAACACTTGGACTTAGTGAGCTGATGAAATGTTTCTTCGTTTGTTTCATTTGAGCTCGTCTATATTTGAACTATTGTGTAAGTCCGACTAACGAAGAAAGTGATGAAATAATTGAGTTCGGAGTGAGTTTTTTTTTATATCAATTTCAAATTCTAATAACAATTCTTATATCATAAAAGCTACTGACGTCCTTAGCTTAAAGTCAAAAATTATTTACTTTTTTACTTGCTATTTTTAAGTCGTGTTTTTTTGTTTGGTCAAAAATTATAACTTAGACGACTTTTAAAAATTTTGATTTTGATGAATCTTATCATTATTTTATCGTATGAAATGAGCCATTTCGTACAATAACTTAATAAAATGAGCCAAAACTTCCTTGCCTTAAGAAGTCAATCAAAAAATTTACGTTTAAAGTGTGCATATGTTTAATAGTGAAACATTAACAAACAAACTAAAAAGGAAAATTTTTGGTGCCCCACTCTTTAACCCCACGTTATCTAACCCCCAATTTTATGAACCCATAAAACGATAGCCCAAAAACACAATTTAACCCCCTATCAATACCGATAATTTGTTTCAGATTAAGTCCTTTTTATAAGTACAGGAGTATTCCAATTAGGTGTACTAATTGCGACCTGAAAAGCCAGTCTTAATTCACTTGATGCCTCTAGCATCTCAAAAATAATTGCAAATCGAATAGTTGAAGAATTATTCCCTCATTCACAGGTTTAAAACAGAGTTAATCTACATGATGCTAATTGCAAGGATTTCAAGATTTTTAAAAATGTACTTAAAATCATACCACCTTTCAATTGAACGATTGTTTTACCATTATATGAGCTAAAATGTTTGAAGACTTTTTCCATTTTACTTCATCCTCCAAAGACAAAAAAACTTTAGTGGTATCAGGCCACGAGTATTATTTTAAACGAAAGAATAAAAACAGCTATTAACTGAAATTGTTCAAAATACTAGGCTCATAAATAGTAGGGGAAATTCAAGTAACATCCAATCGCACCATAAAGGAATCGGAAAAAAATTGCAAAAATTGCTTTTGCCTTTATTTTTGGATCTTATTACGTAAAAGTCGGGTCCCGAACCAAGAAGATCTATTCCCCCTTCACTATGGAACCAAAAAGATGTGGCAACATCCGGTTTGGCAAGAACAACAAATGCTGATGATAGGTCTGGCATTATGGCATACAGTCATATTTCAGTGGTTCACATCCTAGTTTTTGGAAAGTAATCGCAAACCTGTAGAAAAACACTTCTCTTCAAAAAAATAGTTTCTTTAACGCCTCGAGCGGGCACCAAATTACAGAATTACTTTTTTAGTTTTACGTCAAATTACATTTCATTACGTTAATTTACGTTATAAAAATTAGGTTATAAAAGTTACGTTACATTTTACTCTAAAATCATTGCCATTTGAAAAAAGCTTAGATTAGATTGATCAAAGTTTTAGTCAAAACCAGTTTTCTTTCCATAATTCTTTCAAATTTAGCCAATTGACCTGTTATTAGTAAAAATAATTTCAAGATCAAGTCCAATTTTGGAGCAATCTAATCATTTTTGGTTATTAATTTGAATCATGCCGATCGGATTTGTTTTCAAGTTCCTATTAAAGTCTTCTAGACAATTGACAAGGTCATTTCCACTCAAATCTAAAACGAATTTAGCAGCTAGCATGTTTTTCTCTGTGCTTCGCAAAAATTTTTGCAATTAAAGCTTTGATGTTTACCGACGCTGTGGTTCTGTATTCTTTTTCAGTACGTTTCACTTTGATTCTAACATTTAGTATTAAATAGGGGTTAAATTGTAGTGGGGTTATCTTATTCTGGGTTTATATGAGAGGGGGTTAAGAAAAAGGCGGTTAAAAAACGCGGAGTGATAAGCTTGGGAACCAAATAGTTATAAATGAAAGGATTTGTCATGGCAACTGAACGAAGGAAAAAACAGTTATGTTATCTGCTCTAAAAGCAAAATACCAAAAGAAAACAACTTGTATGTGGGAGATCTATGAATGCGTTCAAACTCTCCTCTGACATAATTTTGGTGGATTTAAATTGATATACTTCTCGAAATATTTTTTTTTGTGAACTCTTATCAAATTTTTAAACTCCACCAAGCCCAGTTTAATACAGACAAAAAGATAAGTTTTTTGATTCATTAACCAAGAACATATTTCGCCATATTTCAAAAGTTCTGATTCGTTTCTCTTAGGAGTATTTCTTAAGAGAAACAAATCAGACCTTAAAATGAAACTGTTTCAGAAATTCTTTTAATTTTGATTGAAAAAATTATATTTATTTCGAAATAAAATTCCGCTCGAAGACGTTCCTCTTAAAAAGGACATCATTCTCTATTCGATGCTGACAATTGCTAAGGTCGTTAGGTAAATACATATTGGACGCCAAAGTAATTGCAATCAACTAGCTGCCTCGAGCTCCAAATATTTGGCAATGTGTCTAAAAGTTGATTGAAAGTCTCGAGTGACTATTCATGCATTTGATTTTTTTTTCTTTTTTCACGAACAATATAAATTTTATTGCTCAAAAAGAAAGCAAAAAAACTTGAATTCACTTGAAATACTTCTCAAACAGCGACATAAGGTTCACAATAGTTTCAAAAAACGTTGGCGCCAGAATTAAAAGAAACAAAATGACCAAATTTTAAAAAGAAATTTGAACACGTTCCTTGTTTATTGTTTTTTTTAATTTTCGCTTTTTTGACGCCTTTCGTTTCTGACGCCATGTTCTTTTGGTAAAAGGGATTACCAAATATAGATAAGAGCCAATTTGAGGTCTTTCTCATTCAAATTATCACCACTTTATCGCAAAAAAAATGTGCACTGCGACGAAAGTAACCTCCTTCATTTGGCTGTTTTTAATCGAAAAAAATCACGTGGTGTCAAAATGGAGACGGAAAAGGCAGGGAATAAATCTTCTTTCGACGGGCCGGAGACTTAAAGCAAGATGGCTCTCAATTAGACAACCTTCTGCAATGGTAATTTCAGAAGCAGATCTATATTGATTAAAGTGCATCAAAAAATTGATTATTATGAACTTCAAGCATAGTTCTTTGTTTTTCGAAAATTGTAAAATTCTTTTTTGTCTCATATAGCCTCGTCTCAAATCACGGTAAATACTTTTTTTCAATGTTTCAACTCGCCTAGAACAAATAGTTGAAACTTTTCGTAAGTAAACAACAGATAATAAAACGATAAGCATTTAAGCACTACCCTAGAGTCGATATGCCAGAAGAAAAAACTTTTTTTTGCAATTCGGCTGGAAATTGCACCTATTTGATAAACCCTTATGCGATAAAAGCTATTCGAGAATGCTATTCAAATAGGTTCCTTAGGGATTTGACTGGGATAAATTGGGATAAAAACCTTCGTAGCTAGCTCAATCTACTTATTCGTACAAAGAATGGGTTGGGTTTTTATTGAGTCGTGATGTAACGTGAACTTATTAAAGACAATGACCTTTACTCTAAACCAATTTGAAACTAGAAAATAGTCATTTTTAGCATCTCTGTCAGGAATATTTAGACATTTTCATTAACCCGAAGCACATTTACTGGCAAAAAGGTCAAAATTTTAAATTAAAGTTGACCGGTACTTTTACCACCTGAGACTTTTAAAATTCAGGCCAGCAGAAGCAAGAAATGCAACAGGAAATTGCAAAAAGGCCATATCGTATCCTTTTTTAGATCGTGTTAATTAAATTTTAGTAATGTTTTTTCTTCATTTTTTGATGCAATTCGCTATGAATAAGAATTATCCGTGCAGCACGAAAATTGAAGCATTTACAAAGGGGGTGTTTTGTGGAAATATTTGACAATTTGGAAGCGTTTGTCATTTTCTTATTGATTGATTATAAAACACTTCCTAATCGTTACTCTGCAGTGAGATATTGAAATGGTGATTAGTAAATTTCCTCAATGCAAAAGCTATAATACTGTAATGTAATTTGATCCAATTTGAAATGAACAAATTCATCTTATGGAGTCTAAAAACACCTGAAAAAAACCACTCGAAAAAAACTTAGAAAAAAAAGGTTTTTTTTTATCAGAGGATATAGAATTTGAAATGAATGTTGAATGACATATGATAAAATGGAACAAATGCTGTAATGCTATGGTATAAAGGCAGGATTCATCATCATTGCCATCATCATCTTCAATTCATTTTTAGCACCTTTATCAGCCAATCAACGGTGCAGTTGGAAAAAAAAATCGGTTAAAGTTTTAGGTCAAGAATAATCGTGCTGCTCTTATGTTAGCTAAATTTCGAATAGTAATCAGCAGCAGTAAAATACTCTCACTTAAAATACATCGCTTGGGTTTCTCGAATTTCCTTGAAACAGAAAATTCATGGATCCAATTTAATCTACTAAAATCTATTTAATGTGTTTATTTTTCTCCCATTTGGGTCCGCATAATCCTGTCTAACAAGTTTTCTGGAAAAAGGCTGTTTCAAAACCATTTCGACTGACCATCAGTGGTGTAACATTGTTCGAAGTGGCCTTCGAATAATCTTCAGCAACATTTGAACATTAGACAAACGTTCGAACATTCGATATTTCATTGAGTTTTTCCGTATTCTTGAGAGAAATTTGAAAATCAATATGTAATTGAAAATTTCCCAATCATGCAGAATATTTTGCATGTTCACACAACCTCCAGTAAATTTTTCCCTTTTCTTGATAACAACGTTTCCAGCAGTGCTAAAAGCACCATCAGACAAGGTACTCGAGAATGTTATGAAGAACATTTTCATCGCCAAATTAGCGAGTCACGGATAGTTAGTGTATACAACTCAAAAACACGCTGCTGAAGTAGGACCGAATGTTCGAGAGAGCGTTCGAAGGCTGAGCATCAAACGAACGTTCGAACATTCGGTTGCACCACTGATGACCTTCATGTAAAATTCTAAGAAGATCATAGCAACTCTTTAGGTTGTATAATGTATTGATGAGGTCAGCGTCTTCTTAAAAAAAAGTATTACAAAAAGACTATGGAAGACATGTTACGAAAAGCCCAGGTTGACTATCATACAAAAATTCCCCTGTCTTACCCCTTCTTAAAAAATTTGTAGTGGATGTCCCCCAACTTGCGACTGACCAATAAAAAAAAGTTCTAAGAAATTAAATAGCGTGAAAATGCTTGTCTGCATATTAGATGCAACTTTTATGAAGAGCACTACTTAACCAAAAATTTTATTAAAGCACTCCTAAAAGTCAACCAATGCTATTGAGTATATATTCAACCAGTGGAACTTGATAATCATCCAGCTGATTGTACTTTTTGATGACTTTTGAAAATAAATATAGGGTGCTTTGTTGTTTGACTATTTGTCAGAGGCACTTAGCATGGTGGTAAGGCGTTTACTTTTAAACCGTCAGAGCGTGTATTATATCTTATGCTATGGTAATGATAACGTGTGAGGACGAGCTCTCTTTTGACTTCTAGCCTAACCGATATCAGCTGCAATAGTGGTACCACGTGAAAGTTCTAGTCGCAAAAAAAGAGCTTTCCATAGCAAAATAACACAGTCTGGAATATGGTGAGATAATACAAATGGATTATCCTCGACAGCACTGTTCAGGTTTACTGATAGCTCCTCTGCGATTCACAGGAACCACATTATATGACTATGATCAGTTTTGGAATTTCAGTCGAGGTGTCAGAGTTTTGAAAGACATTTTTTTTTGCTTTCTTCCTTTAGTATTTCAAGCTTCTGACAAAAACATAATTTTCCATTTTTATAATTTTTAGAATTTCTTTTAAAATTTCGTGGCACAATTTTTTTGAAGTTACAGAACCCTTTATTTTAAATTTTTAGCAAGAGTTTTTTTTGAAGCTTGCTCAGTGAACAAGATTTGGTTTTGGTAAAAAGAACATGAACGTACCATAGATTTATTAATTGTTTCAATTGAAACACCATTTCAATTTTGGCCGGCAAAACTTCTCTCTCTTGGTCATAAATTTTTTGGAACTTCTGAACTCATAGGACCTGTTGCTCCTTTTAGCCAGTGAAAATATACATACAAGTGTTTGAGGTTTATTCAAGATGCCAATTAAAAAGTGTTAGTGCTGTTATAAAAGCCGTTTGGGTCGTTAGGAAATATTGTGCAGAGCTAGCTTGCACTGTTTGTGTCGTAAAAAAAGGTCGGTTGTGGCGTGGGAAAGCATTAAACGTGCTCAGAGTTTTCTTTAACGGTCTCCTATGTTGCAAAAGGAGAAAAACGGGAATCGTTCACTGGGTACAATTTCATGCTTAACCATTGATTTAGCTCGTTGTACGCGGGTTATTCTCTACCTGGAGTGGGGCGCTTTTATTTATTGGGGGTTGGGGTGGGGTGGTTTTCTCTGCAGGTAGTTTGGGTGGGGATTAGTTAAAGTGACATCATGTTCCAGAACTCTTTCAAATTTTTTATTCAAAACATACACGAGGATGAGGACAAAAACAATGAGCCAGAATGTGAAGAATCGTCTAGTGCAATTATCACAACTGGAAGGAGTTGCTTCCTGGTCATTCTTGGGTAACTCGTATTTGGGACGACACTTGTTGCAGCAGCACCTGCACACGAAGATGATGAGCCCAATTAGGGGAACAACGACCGCCAGAGAGAGCCCCACAACAACACAGATGGCGAAACCAAGTTGACTGTTCAGCAGCTAAACAAAAGCATTACACATGTATAAATTACGAAGGATAGACGGTGAAAAAAAATGAAATAAAATTTTTTGAGCAAATTAAAGTGTTTTTTTTTTAGAAATTTATTTTTTTAGAAAGCTTTTATAGCCCAAGAAACTCTAAAGTAAGGTTACAAAACTAGGTTTCTTATTGATATCAAGTTTTCTTAGCCTAAAATAGCAATTTCCATGTACCGAGTGTTACTCGATTGCTCGAAAAACTCAAAAGTTTCAAATCGTTTTTTGCCACTAAGACAACTTCAAAAAAAGTTTATCGTTTTTCAAAGCTCGACCCTTCCGATGACTATTTATAGTAATTGATTTTGCGCAAAAAAAAAAACAAAAAAAACGCACCTGAATTTAAAATTTTTTCCTTTTTCAATGGCCAGAACAAAAACACACTAAAGGAGACAAAACCCGGCAATGGAGATGTAATGAATACTTTCTGATTGTTCAAATTTTAACTTCATTTTTTCAAAAGATTTTCAACCAAGCAGGTGTAGGCAGAATTTTGTGAAAAGTAGCGCCAAACAAAAAAAATATGCGAGGATTTTCAAAAATAACGACCTCATTGCGCAAACGTCCATGAACTAAGCACTCTCTTAATTTTCAAGCGAAAGCCGGGAAAACTGAAGGAAGATTTTTTTTGTGTAATTAATTTTGCGGGCTCAAAACAATTACACCTAACGGATTTTTCTGAAGGAGTGTTAAAGCCAATGTTGACTATTTTTGAGGGAGAAAAATGCCAAAAACCAGAAAAAAATTGCAAATTTTTCGAAAACGTCTCTAACACGTCATTTTGGACAACTTTTTCTAAAAATTAGCCTCCGAAGCATAAAAAATGTTTTTTACTGTTCCGGAAGATTTCGTAAAAAATGTCAACAGCTCGAAAGAGAAAAAAATCTTATAACATTTTGTTGGAAAGTTCGCCTCCGTCTCAAGAGACTCTTAGATCAGCCTCTGTATTAAACACCACATTGAAGCTTCTTCATCAGTCAAAGTTTTGATAAAAAAATCAAACTAGAGCTTTCTATCAATTCATTGACAACTCGAAAAATCAGACAACTCGAAAAATCAAACAACTCAAAAAATCAGACAACTCAAAAAATCAGAGGTACTATGAGGTGGGGTATAAAGAACGCTTGTAGGAGGTTAAATGTGATATCATATGTTAGCCAATCCTTTGGTTATTTGGATTTTGAAAATAGATATTACAGAAAAATACTCTCAGTGTAAAGAAATATGCTTTTTGGTGCGCATACTAAAATTTAGAAAAAAATGATTGAACTTGAACATCTTTATTTCAAACAACAATGAGTTACTGAAAAGTATACAACGGTATACGAAACTTTGACCAATCAATTGTTGTGTTTTAAAGAAGCGTTGCTACTCTGACCACTGGGCAAAATAAAAAACTTAGAACAATCAATTGGTATGTTTTAGAGCAGTGCTACTGTTCTGATCATTTCACGAAGTTGAAGGGAACTATTTGCTTTTTTGAAAAGAGCTCGAGGTATGATTTTTTCTTAATTTTAAGTGAGCCAAAAAACGCTCCCTGGAGAAACAAATGCTTTCAGATCAATATGCTAGAGAACTTTTCATTAAACGAAGCAAACGTTGTTCTTTATACTGCCAAAGAAAGTAAAAGTTCCAAACTAGTTATGGAAAAGCTCACTAGAAAAATAAACTTCGAAGAAATGACATTATAATCTATCTTCAATCTCAAATTTAGTTACAATTTAGACCTCACTCATTGAGTTTACCTTTTTTTATTATCACAGTGTTTTAGCAAATGGTGCATGATCGTCAAATACTTGAAATTGATTTTGTCAGAAAAACCATTTTGTTGATAAACTAAAGTTATTGTTCCGACTTTTGTCACAAAAGTAACTGAATAATTTCGCTCATGGTGGTTTTTTTTTTAGGAAAATTTCGAATTTTTAACTAGCCATTTTTGACGAATTTTTTTTTTATATCAGTCAACGGTTTTGTTGTCGTGAGCTTAAATTTGAAAATGTATTTTGGCCAATTTGGGACAATTAACGCGCCATATATTTCGCACTATTAACGCGTAAGCGGAGTTTTAATCCGTCTTAGAAATTGTTCCAAATTAGTAGAAGGAAGCTTATTTACCATAATTGATTTGTCGGCGCACAAACAACTCGGCCAAAAACAGTTCAGCCAGTTTTACAAAAGGCTGGATTCTAAAAAAAAATATGGAAATGGAGTTATTTCTCGTTTTAAGGTCGCCGGTGGGCGCGCTACTCGCGCGTCGCTGCTTTGCGGCGATAACCGGCTCTAAAGTTCTTATATAATCCTGCCCTCTGTTGGCAAGCTCGCAACACGTTGGCGCGACTGCGGCGGTCACTATTACTGGCTGAATTGTCTCTGGCTGAATTGTCTGCATACTTTTGGCTGATTTTTCTGGAGTTCAAATCGGCTAAATTATCTCTGGCGAAAATTGTCTGAACGCGGATTATTACATTAAATTTTTAGATGTTATGACTGCTATATAGACCTTAAAAGACAGTCGGAATATTCAAGGCTTCGCCCTGATACGACAAGTATAGTTTTTCTTTGTTTGGCTAATCAATTTAACCCACCTCAAATTCCCCTGCCATTAAATGCAACCGAATAAAAAGTTTTGATTAAAATTGAATGGTCTTTAACTATTCTTTGATCTTCTGAAGTAAATTTCTCTGTCAGAGTTTTGTTTAGTACTACTTAAAACGTTTATTACTCTATATTATTGGTCTGACAGCGTCACTATAACTGACCGGAAAAAACTATGATACAGTTAATGCATTTTTCAACCAATTTCACAACCTCAAAGCAAACTTGCTGGTACTCGTGTGTGGCAACATACAAGAGCCATTTCATTTGTGATTAGGTCTTAAGAAAGATTTTAGATTTAGGAATTTTTTCGTTCTTTAACCTAAATGACTCGATGTATCGAATAACTTTGAGTTATCAGTTCATTGCAATTTAAATTTTACTTTATATACTCATTAGTCATTTCAATTTGTTAGTCTCTGGTCATTATCAATTAACCCCAAACTGCAGAAAAAAAGATAGCTTTTGGTGCTTATTTCAAAATAACTTCATAAAAAAGTTTATCTACCATTATTGTTCCGACTTTCGACCAGACAAAATTCGACTTTTTAACTACTATTTTTGACGGAATTTTATATTACCATTCAAAAGGTATTGTTGTCCTGAGCCTAAACTTGTAAAGATATTTTATCTGTGATTGTTTTTTTAAAGTTATGGGGGTTTAAAGATCGCCATTTTTGTCAAATAGGAATAATTAACGCGCGATATATTTTGCGCTATAAACGTGTAAGCGGAGAGTTAAGTCGTCTTATAAATCGTTCCAAATTGGTTGAACGAAGCTTATTTGCCATCTTTGATTTGTTAATAGGAGCCAAAATTATCATTTCGAATTTTATATGGCATTTCATATTTTTTTTATTACATTTAAATTTTTCATATTATAACTGCCCCATAGACCTTAGAAGGCAGTCGGAACATTCAGGGCTTCGCCCTGATATAAGCAGTCTTGATCTTTTTAGAATCAGTTTATTTAAATTGTTGTGTCTGAAACCTGTTGTGCTACTTGCACAGCATCCAGAAACTTTCTGATTGATTATTATTATAACTAATTTTGAATCAAATTTCTCTGTTTTAATTTTAAGGAATTTGGTGGTTCCTTTACAATTGTTTTTATTCAAACTGTTTATAAATTTTTTCCTATTATCTATGAATCGAACTTAAAAAAAGCTGTCAAAAAATTTTGTCATAAATCTTAAGTTCACTATGTCAGCTTTTTTATAAGCTTAATGAGGCCAACTAGCAATAAAACTGATCACAAAACTACGCAATCGTTTTTGCAAAATTATAGTGGCAACACAACGCGAGCATAACAACAGAAGGTATAAACCATTAACTGTATCAACAACTCGATTAATTTTGCAACACAGTTTCTTCTTCTGAGAAAATGCGAAAAATCAATGTTTGAGAAATCTAATTTTTGACAACATTTAGGCTCATTAAACTGCTCCTGGAGACGTGAAAAGCGTTAATTGTAACAAAATTTTAATTTAATGCAAAATATCAGATTAAGTATTGAATACATTTGAAACAAATAGAGTTTTGAAACAAAGAGAAACTTTTCCAAAATATATGAAACAATATCTTAAGTTTCCTTGTCCGTTTCGACAACCTTTTTTTGCTGATGGATTTTGTCTCGACGAGTCAAACAACTCATCAAGTGATATATTCCATCGAAGTCATTTTATTCGTGATTTGAAGTATTTTTCTTCGCTAAATTTCGTAGGTGATCAAAAAAAACCAATCTTTTTTAGTTAAGAAGTCTAGAGGCAAATTTCTTCTCACTGCACAGTTTACTAATGCCAATTATATGCGTTTTCTACTTTAATTGTTATCTTCATTTTATGCAAATGTAGTTGAGGAACATTCTGAACAGCTTCCAAACCGGTTATTCTTTTTTTTGTAGAAGTGAGCTAGAAAATTATGGCATTAATTTCCTTGCGAAATTCAAATTGTGATAGATTTTACCGTATCTTTGTACTCTTCAGACTGCCACACTTCACTAAGAGTGATGTTGCCAGCGATGGCGCGTCTCATCAAATCTGGAGAAACAGAAACAAATACATTAAAAACATAGATTTTTTATAGCTTTCTGAAATCATATAACTTTCTTTTAACAAAAATCATCAATTAGAAGACAAATTTTTTAATACAGTAACACATTAGATGCTTGAACCTCCATATTGGCAATATCCTCGGACAACAGCAGTAAATTTAGAGCAAACAAGAGGCCAAAAATATAATGGATTTTGAAATCGGTGCACGAAAAACGGCATTTTTACCCCTTGAAGCAAACTATTCCGTAGAATTGGAAAGATAATGCGTTTTTGCAGTGATCATCAAATGATTTATCAGATATCGGAAAATCTGAATCTCGGCATAAGTTTTTGAACATTTTTCGAAAACTTAACAACCCCGGGTGGACCAAAAGTGCTGGTCGAACAGTATCCATAATCAAACAGTTTTAGTGCAATTCAATAAGAAAAGAAAAGTTCACGGAAGGTCTATCATCATGATTTTTCACATTTAAAAATTGTAGGATAGCCATTTCCCATAAATCAAGCTGTTTTATTTAATGTTTTTTTTTTGTTTTCGAAACTTTTAGGCGGTAATGTTAGTAACCAAGGGTACTCAAATTTGAGTTAATAAATGTTTAACTGTCTTGTAATTACAATAGATTGAAACAAAATGTATAGATATTTTACACTAAAAATATTAAAATATAACTAACATTACTTTTAGGCGGTAATGTTAGTAACCCAGGGTACTGAAAGTTTGAGTCAATAAGTGTTTAACTGTCTTCTAATTACAAAAGATTGAAACAAAATGTATAGATATTTTAAACTAAAAATATTAAAATATTAAACTTCTAATTTTTGTGAAGAATGTTATATTTTCTGATTTAAAATTTTGAAACAAGCAGTGCCCGGAGCATCCAAAGTATGCTATACTAAAAAAAATTCTCAGCGTTTTCGACACAAAAAATCAAAAAAAGCCAAAAAAGGCAAATTTTGTTGATATAGGACTATGTTATGCTCACAAAAAGTAAAAAACTTTTGCAAAAAAAAATTTTTCGCTGGAAAAAGATACCATTTGAAGTTTTTTGGGGCTATCTTGAAAGAAAAGCTAATCATACGGTTTCTCTTTTGGAAATGGTTTGTAGAATTTTTTCCAAACATGCTTTCTTTTTGATAACGTTATACCAATTTTCAAGCAAAACATCAAAAACATGATTTTCAATCCGAGTTTCTCATATAAGTGAAAATGAATGAAAGTTGCGTGACCAACAACTTTTCATAAATATAAATTTTTAAACTGTATGATTTGTATTTTGGTCTATGGAGGTCAACTCGGGCCTCCGTTTAAGCCAAAACGTCAAAAACATTCTTTTGAATCCGAGTTTACCATGTTAGTGGTAATGAAGGAAATTTACGTGACCAGTAACTTTTCATAGATTTAGTTTATTAAACTCTATCATTTTGGTCTATGGAGGTCAACCCATGAATATCCCAGGTATTAAAGGTTCTCATATGAAACGCATCAATTTTTTTTTCGACAAGTTCCAGTTGCGCTCAAAGGTTGTATTTTATTATCGCATGATTTTTATAAGAGATGAATCCCTCATGCCAGAAGCGAATTCTCGAAGTTATTGTAAGCCAATCAGAATCAAAGGTTCGGGAAAATGAAATATATCATTCGCAAAATCAGTCGGCTTTAAAAAGGACATTCGAAAGTGTACAAATTAGTTCCAAATCTTAGAAATCAGGTACAGCGCCCCAGTGTCCTCGGAAGGTAAATTTAGCAGAAAATTCTGCTTAAGAAATAAGTTAATCATCTTTTTTTCTTCCAAATTTTTAAAAAATTTTCTTTTATTTTGCAATATTTGCTTACCGTTTACGAGAAATAAAAAAGATATTGTATTCTTCTTCAAAAAAATTTCTGATTTATTATCTTTTTCGTTATATTCAATGTTTTTATAGTTTTTGCTGGACTCAAGAAAAATGCTCAGCAAAAAAGATCAGAGCGCTCAAAGGTTTTTTTTTTGCGCTCAAAGGTTGTTTTTTATTGTCGCATAATTTTTATAAGAGGTAAATCTCTCATGCCAGAAGCAACTTCTCGAAGTTATTGTGATCCAATCAGAATCGTGAGTTGAAATGATGAAAAATATCATTCGCAAAATCAGTCAGTTAAAAAAAGGGCATTCAAAAGTATAAAACACAAACCTTTGTTCGAGAGTTTCAAACCTTATAAAATTGGTTCAAAAGTGCCTGAAGCGTTAATTCAGCGCCCCGTGTTCTCCGAACAAAAATGTTGCAGAAAAAGTTGCTTAAAAAACGATATACGCTGTTCTTGCTCATTTCTGCACAAGATTATGCAATTTTTGCATTAATTTTGCAAGATTTGCTTACCATTGGCAAGAAGTAAGCAAGATGATATTTCTCCTTCAATGATATTTCTGAATTGTTACTTTTTTGGCATACTCAATGTTTTTCACAGTTTTTGCTCGATTCTAGAAAAGGCTCAGCAAAAGATCAGAGTGGAGTTTGCTGAATTATACTTCCCTTATGGCAAAAATATTTAAAAAGTGCACGAATGCATTGAAAGAAAATATTCATAAAATTATTTTAAAAATTTTCGAAAAAACTTTCCGAAAAAGGTAGCTTAAAGTTACAACTTAAAAATTTTAATTTTTTCAGTTATCAATGATTTTCACTGCTAACTAACCATATTATGAAGAGTATTGGCAAAAAAATTATTACTTTTACGTGCAAAATGATTATTCTACGTACACGAAAACACAATAAATAGAAAACGAAACACTTCCGAAAGCTTGGACTATCTTTCATCGCAGACAATACAAAAATGTTTTTGATGCATAAGTCGTACACTCCGTCAATTTAACCTGCATTTTCTGTTTTTGTTCACTCTACGTTTCAAAATGATGGGAGGAAAATGTTCTTGTGTAGGGTGCGTTTTTTCTAGATTTTGACTGCCTCAAAGAAAAAACCCTAAAGGTCAAAAAACGTTACTCCACCAAAAAATTTTCAGCCTGCCTTGAATTTAACAAAAAATCTCAGTGTCGAGAAAACAAGGGTGTCAATTTTCCAATTTTCTGATCCAACTTTGGACTCTTTTTCTTTCCCCCTCCTCACATAAGCATCGATTTCATGGTGTAACGAGAGGTTCTACAAGGTTAAGTATGCAGACTAAATAGGTTTGTCTTTGCCTAATCAGTACTTAGGCCATTTTTTTTCAATAATTCGACAATGCGAACACAAAAAAAAACTCTTCCAAGAGGGTAGGGGTTGAAAAACAGCAAAAGTTTTGATCACATTCAATTTGTTTTTTTTTCGATTTTTACTTTTTTTGGACTTTAATCTTTTTCTTCAATTAGTTACCTAATTTGTTCGGGCTTTTGACATAATTGAAAGTAAATGAATAGAAAATCGGTTTGAACTCTTTTTTCGAGACTCTTCAGTGGTCGGAACGAGCTAAACTCTTTGCACAGCATCCGGCTACTTTTGGTGTCTGAATTTTTGGTAGTATGCCTCCATCATGGAAAGATTCCATTAAAATATATCTTCATAAATTCCTTCATAACATTTTCTACAGCATAATTAATATGTCTTTGAAAATTAATTGACTACATCAACGTAAAATTTTTGGATTTTCAAAACAAATAGACACAATTCTGAAAGATTTCTGAAAGACTTCAAAATTAGAAATTGGCTTAAATCAAGCTTTTGAAAGTAATTGTTTTTGTTTGCTCAGAATCTTTTGCAATAGTTTTTTGACTGGGTTGTACCCATCTGCATGTAAGGAAGTAAATAGTTTTTAGTGCTTACGACAATATCTATATATTGGAGTTCCGCAGCCAACAAGATTGAATAAAAATTAATTTAAAATTTTTTTATGAAAATTTTGATTATACAAAATTCATTCAAAAAAATCAAATGTTTGTTTTCACTTTAATTTTGCTTTAAAGTTTAGTTTTTCAGAAATTTGTAAATGCAAAGCTTATTGCAAAGTGTTTGCAAAACTATCCTACACATAATCAACTGCAAAACGATTTGCTTCCAACGTTTGCTCCTCTGCCCCTTAACCCCCCCCCCCCCCCCCAGACACCCACTGAAGGAGCAAACTTTCTAGAACAAATTTCTTTCAGTCTTTTTATAAAAAAAAACTATTGAAAAAAATGATGCAATTTTTTCGGGTAAAGATTCTTGCCGGCGTGTGATACCTCTCAAAAGTACATACACACATACATACATACATTCATACATACATACATACATACATACATACATACATACATACATACATACATCCATGCATACATACATAAATACATACATACATACACACATACATACATACAAATATACAACTTATTTGAATGAATTTGATTTTTCAGTTTCGATACCAATCCCCCCAGAGTAAAACAAAAAACAAAGTTGCGTAGAAAAAGTTGAAAACGAACAGCAGGTAACCAACTTTTTGAAATTGTTTACAAACTGTTTTAAAATGTGCAACCATACCCGCGTTTCAATATGGTGGAAGAAACTCTTATAATGGAGTTTTAATTTCTTAAACCAATCGATTTTAATTGATTTGCAATAGATTTTATTGCTTTAATAAATCATAGAAGTATTTTCCATTTTAATTGATATAATCGATCATTTTTCTCTTTTATAGACAATGGCAATAAAACTGAAATGTAATCAATTTTTATCCATGGAACTCCAAAGCGGGCGGTTTTAGACAATTTAGGGAATGTTGATTGGCTGAAAACTTTCGCGCAATCGACCCTTCTATCATGCGAATAACCCCTTCATAAGAAAAACGTACCGTAAATGTTTTGTCCATATGGCGGATCTTTTTTGAAGTTGACGTATTGTAGTATTTCATAGATTGCATCATCCACGTATTTAAGAAGAAAAAACTTATCATCCGGTATTTTTGTGACGTAACTTTGCTCTCGGAAAGCCGAGAAGGTAACCGTTTCGTCATCGTTGCTCAATTTGTAATTTTTCTGAGCAGTTGATTGGTAAGTCAAGGAGCCGATAAACAGAAACGAAATTAGCAAATTTGCTTGCATTCTGACAATAATTTTAAATTAAGATTAATTTGAAATCGATTATTAATAAGATATTATGAATTTGTAGATTAATAAGAGGAAATAAATTAATTCAATTTTAAAATGACAATAATTGGAAGAAGAAAAAACTATGATAAAATGAAGATTTCTAGGTCATCTGAACTGAAAACTGAACTTCTTTCTGCTTTTTCCATAACTTTTTTTGTTCATAATTTAAATTTCTCAATTAAGCGACTTGTTAATTAAATAATAACTTTAAGTTCAAATTCAAATATTTAGCTGTAACTAAATTACAAATATGCTCTAGTTAATGAAATTGAGGTCGAGTTGCTTTCAGCGGTTAAAATAAATAACAACAAACACAGCTTTAAATTTTTCAAATACGTCTCTGATAATCATATGCAAGCGATACGCAAATGGTATCAAACAATATAGTCTGAAATTTCATTCACTCTTTTTGGATCCGGTGAATTAGTTTTCTTTTTTTTTCTGGTCGTATTTGTTAGTTATCTTACCACACTGATACTACACACTCCGCGCCTAAAACAGACAAAAAATGGTAGTAGAAATAATAACGGTTAAAGACTACACTAAAAACGAGTCCTTTTTCCACCATGAAAAAAATTGGAAAATGTAACTATAAAGATTTTTATAAATAATCTGTCCACGTAGCAATGCCAGCAAAGCATAAATAAATAATTCCACTTTTGTATATATATTTTTTATTTTTGCAAATTCGTAGCGCAGTACTGCAAAAGGTATTCTGCTATGTTTACCACTCGGATTGAAAAAGAAACGAAGCAATAAGTATAATGTTGATTTCCCATAATGTTTTTTATATGGTGGGCACTTGTATACAGGTTATATAATGTATAAGCTATAGCGACCGAGTTTTATTCATTTGGGCGAACAACTTTCAGTGCAGTTTTGTTGGAACGATATGTCCAAGTCCTTTACCCGCTGTAGCAAATAAGTGAGCCCAATTTTGCCGGGGGTACCTTCTGACTACGTAAATACTCACATATGACACTAACTTCACTTCTCTGATTCAGATTAAAATTGACGTATTAAAAAATAGGACTGCTTAGTCAACGTCTAAGAATATATCGCGAAACATTTAAACAAAAGCGACTTACACACCGGAATCTGAACCAAAATTTCTATTTTCATTTTAGTTCAATTACAGATTTTGACTAACCGAGAAACAAGGATATCAGCTTTGTCTGCCATATCGACAGTCGGCTTATTTTCATATTTCTCTGAAAAGGTGCTAAAAGAAAGACATTTATGGATTTCCTTAAGGCCAAAGAAGGGCTATGGAAATGGTGCAAGAACAAATATAATATGAAAGTACGTCCAATCGACATATTTTCAAGACGAATTGCAGTAGTCTACTTTTTGTTTCAAAACTGATGACAGCAATGAGCTCACTTTTTTCGAAACCCGTGAAATGACTGTTTTTGAAATTGACGGCGTGTGTGAGCTCGGAATGTTTTTCAAGATGCATTTTCCTGCATTTGTAAAAAAAAACGAGACAATTTTTTTGGCTTAATTGTGATTATACCTGTTGACATTTGAAATTACCACCAAGGGAAATGTAGGAAAGGAAGGTTACTTCACGTGAATTTACATTCTACTTCAACTACGTGTGTTGTAAACGTTTACAGACAACCGTCAGCTCTCCAAATCGCTTGTTTGTCCCATTTCTCAATTCCCATTTCTGAATGGAAATTTGAGGTCGTTTGCAAATTGGGGAAACTACAAGAAATGAACGAGGCATGAAAGACCAGGAATGAACTAAATGGCGCCTTTTTTCTGTTCACATTTTCACCTGATGTAAAAAAAATGTTGCGTTTGTTTTCTCCTAACGAATTTTTTGACGCTCGACCGCTTTTTACCGCGGATCATTTTCATAAATTACCGCCCGTAAAAAAGACGCCTTCTCAGTAAACCGAAGTGACTTTTACTCGAAAGTTTAGATCAATAAAGCCATTTTTTCAATTGGTTATATAGAAACATGACAACTATCAGAAAAACTGTTGCCGCCAATTTATGTTGATGAAAAAAATACCTATTTAGGCAATTCGAACTTGAGAGCTTTTTTCATTTTTTGAGCTCATATGAAGATAGTTTGTTCGAAAATAACCTATAAATAGGATAATTTTTAATCCGAGCCCACAAACAAATCTTGAACCATCACAAATTTCGCTTTTTTGGACGCGTCATGAAGGACTGAATTACCTTTATCTACTAATTCACCAGTTCGCGCTTGGATTAACTGGACCAGTTTTTACAAATGTTGGTTCTTTTCAGGTTGAGGCTATATAACTATCCGCCCTAGAAAAAATCCGTAAAATTTTTCTATGCTCCATAATAGTATTGTTTTTCGGTTCATTTACTAAAAACTTAACCCGCTTCTGAAAACCGGATCAATTGAGCTATCTCCTCCCGTAATGTCTATCTCCCCACCCCAAGCAAAAACGGTAAAATGCTACAAAAAGAGGTCAACAAACGCAAGTATCTCGATGATGGGTTAATAGCACACACTCAATTGACCGACTGAATTTCATTTTATATGCGTATCGAAAAAACTTTTTTAAAAAAAGTCAAAATTTATTAATTTTTTTTTCAAGTTTTTGTTTGGGTGACCATTGCTTCTGATTGGAGAAAGCGAGTTACCAGTGTTGTTGCTCTAGCCTTGTATCTGAATAACGAAAACTGTTCTCAGCAGCACCTTAATAGTGTAAGCAATAGCTTTTTTTCATATAGGACAGAAAAAAAGTCGCTTTATCTGCCCCAATTTTATTGATTTTTTCTCTCTGAATGTGATTTTTGACATTTGATACTGTACTTTTTGGCGTTTCACATTCGTTGGAGAATCTGGTTCATGATTTCATATTATAAACATGTATCGAATACCTATAGAGCTATCCCCCATCCCCCCTCTCACGCGAGAATGCGGAGAGATCATGCAATTGACACTGAAAACCCTGCAAGGCAAAAAAAAACAATGCAGAAAATGACTCGAAAGTTTTAGAAAATGAAAACAATCCCAGGAACAAAACTTTTACTAACAACAATAGGAAAAAAATTTATTTAAACAGCAACTTCCCAAAAGAAAGACTGTAGTAAACTTGATTTAGCGAACCAAAAGCGAAGCTGCGAATGATTCTTACCCAAAGAAGTTGACGACTGGAAAATGTCGATAATGCGTACACAATACCTGAAGGCGAGCTAAAGTTTTTTAGACCACAAAAAACAATAAAACTGCAAGGCATGGTCAGATTTAACCCGCGTCGGTCATCACCGAAAACGGTTACGCTGCAGACAAAGAGTTGATATACTTTTATGGAAAAACATGCTGCACACCAGTATCAAATAATTCATGACATTTTTTTTTTTTTACAAAAGAAAGTAGGCTGCAAATTATGAACTTTTTTCAGTACTTCAAACCAACTTTCTACAATAAAACGTTTTCAAAAAACGTTGATTTTTTTGCCCAGCCGAGCCAAGATGGGCTTGCTCATCAACGAATCAAACAGTTCAAACTAACGGCCAAAAAAAACATTCGTGGCGGGACTCAAACAAATGTTTTTAAACGCTAGTATGAACTCTCTTAGGTTCAGCTATTCAGCATGTTGACCAAAAGATTAAACAATCTGGAAAAAGATTGGCTCAAAAGTTATCATTCCGACTTTCGTAACGAAAGTAACGGAATATTTGTGCTCGGGGGTTTTTTTTTTCTTCAGACAAATTTCGACTTTTAACTAGCCATTTTTGGCGGAATGTTTGTTATGTCATTCGAAAGGTAATGTTGTCCTGAGCTTAAACTTGAACAAATAATTCACCTGTGATCATTTTTCGTAAAATTATGTAGATAGAAAAAATGCCATTTTTGGCCAATATGGGACAATTATGAGTTTATGACCGGGCGTGGTTACTCATAGAGTTATTTCAGATAAGGTACACCGTCTGTTCGTCACGCTATCTTTTTTTCGACCGCATAGATTCCTGCAACTTCTTAGTCTAATGCCAATCAATTGGAAGATCATCCAATCAATCAGTTAGAATGGTGTTGTACTTTCTCAGTGGCTAAGATTTATGTTAAGAAAACTTACTTAATCTTACTTAGGGTTGTGAGATTTGTGATCAAGGGTTGTAGAATAGTATATCAATCCACAAGGTCCGGGTATAATTGGAACACAAGTAGATAGTCGGATACTATTTTAGATCTTACTTCGTTCGTGATTGCTTTTACCTGGGTCAACTAAGAGGAGGCGCTTAAGTGAAGGATGAGTAACCAAAGTTCTTCAGTGTTTATCCTAATTAGAATGGCTAGTTTTTCAAAGACTTCTATCCGTCCTGGGTCGTTCATAAGGGTTGGAGAGTGAATCTACGTGTGAGTTCCTTAGACACTTTTTACTAGGAGGTTGAGAGAACAAGATTGTTCTGATTGATCCAAGGGAAGCCTTGATGATCAAATACAAACAGTTTTCAAATGAAATAAAAATTAAAATTAAGTTAAAATTTATCAAAACAAGGATAGCCATGATGATCTTGTTTAGGGAAAATTTAGGTTTTTACAAAGCAAGGACAAGCTTTGATAATATTTAAGTTTTAAGTTCAATTTAAGTAAAATATGGAAAAGTTTAAAGAATTGATTTAAAGATTAAAATTTTATATGATATTGTTTTTAGGAAAAAATATGGTTGTGTTTTAGATGAAGAGAAGCGATATAGAAGCGATTGGTCTGCTGTTCAGTTTTTGATCTGAGTGTTTGTAGTATCGTTTGAAACATTGGACGTCTTGAGACGTAGAGACATACTTATTAAGTTGTCTATGCTATCTTAAATTTTGTTTATTATTGTTTTAGCCTGGGTCACCTAAGAGGAGGGGTTCAAGTGAAGAATGAGTAACGGAAGTTCTTCATTCTTTATTGTACTTAGAATGGTTAGTTTTTCAAAAAATTCTATTAGTCGTGGGCCGTTGATAAGGGTTGGAGAGTGAATCGACGTTTGAGAAACTTAGACACTTTTTGCTAGGAGGTTGAGAAAACTAGATTAATCTGATTGATCCAAGGGAAGGCTTGATATTCGAAGTTCTTTAATGAATTAAAATTTGAAATTAATTTCAAAATTAAACATAAGCATTGATGATCTGGTTTAAGGGAATTTCAGGTAATTACAAAGAAAGGATAGTCCTTAATAGTTTTTAAGTTTCAAGTTAAAATTGAATAAGTTATTAAAAAATTTAGAAAGAACTGATTTAAAGAATACAAACTTGAATGATATTAGTTTTGAATAATTATAATGTTTTAGATAAAGAAACAAGAATGAAAAGATGGGAAAAAGATGAAAGGGTGAAAGGATTAGTTCCCTTGAGAAGCAAAGAACTTTGATAAACTAAAAAAAACTAACTTTAATTTCAATACTAAATTATTTTTTTTATCAATGAAGTTTAATTTTAGAAAACTTTTAAAATTACTGCAGATTTGATGAAAAGAATGACTCGCGTATTTTTTATCATTCGTTATTATGATTTTATAAAATAGTTCAACAACATCAAGAAGTACAGAGCTTGGAAATGAATCCTAATGCTCCAAGTAAATTTTATTTCATGTTAGAGAGTGAAAATCTACTGCAATGAAAACTTCGAAGAGAAATAATCGTTGCAGTTTGCGTCGTTTCTTGATTTTGAAGCTTGGTCTGAGGTCTGAGGTTCAATTTTTGACCTGTTGTTTGCCGTATCGTTCGAAATATTGGAGTAGACGTATTGAGACGTAGAGACATGCTTATTAAGTTGTCTATAGTATCTAACACTTTGCAAATTTGCAATGTATTTTTTTAAAATCTTATTTCTTATTCTGATTTGCTGAACCTAAGTTTATTTAAGAGGTATTGTTCGAGACTGTTGGTTGCACCAGATGGATTTTTGACCGGGCATTGTCACTCAGAGAGTAATTTCAGAT